TATATATATATATATATATATATATATATATATATATATATATATATATATATATATATATATACCCAATATTTATGTCAGAAATATGGAAAGAATTTTTTTCGTCACTGATGAAATTGGAATTAAAATGATTAGTTATATAATTTAGAAATAACTTTGTTTATAGCAAAGTATATGGAAAAGAAATAAAATAAATTTTACATAATTTACATATTTGCATACTGTATACTAAAAATATTTCTCAAAGGCAAATTACTGGAAAAAAAAAGAAAAATATTGCTGGAATTTTAACTATTCAGAAATCGAAAACTTTTTATATTGATGGAAAAAAAGCCAAAAAAAGAAGATATAAATAATAATAGTAGGTAGATGATCTATTCAATAATAGCATGTTATGGAATGGGAATTCTCTATGCCAATAATTTATTATTAGTTTTGCTTTTCAAAATGATATAAAAATTTCTTGTCGACAAAACATTTTTAATATGGAAGAAAAAGAAACAAGGGAGAGAAAAAGAAAATGAAAATCAAAATGTGATGAAATTGAAGGAGAGAATTTCAGAAAATCCAAACAAAGATATAAGTTAGTTGACAAGTTAAGAAATTATACAAATTACATTTTGTCTCTTTTGTCCCGAAAGGATTACTTTGCAATTGTCGTGTATTTTATTTCAAATGTTTTTTCTAATATATTAAAAAAAATAATAAGCATGTAATAAAATGGATTGGAATTTTTGATGAATGTTTGGAGAGATTATTCCAGAACAGACTTTTTTTTTCGTCAGATGATTTGATAATTAAAAACCAGTTTAATTACAATAATTTGCAGATGATATTTCGAAACAAACAAAATTGGTATAATTACCATATAAATAAAATTGGTATAATTACCATAGTTACCATTTACACTGGGTACTTGAGCAATATTACGACCATCGGCATAAACGAGATAGGAATGTACAGCGGCACGAGATGGTGGTAACGGTTGATTAGTGACCGGTGTCCAGGAAACCAAAAGTGTATTAGGTTGTGGACCCATTTCAACCTGTACATTGGAAGGCGGATCGGGAAGACCGACTGAAAACTCACAGTATGCATTTTAATGGATTATAAAGAGATGAGACGTATCATAGCATATCATATCATAATAAATTCAAATTTTTTAGCAATAAAAAATTGAGAGTGCAACAGGAATAATTGCAAATTGTCCAAGATAACAGATAATTATGATTGGTTGTTGATAATCAACAAAAGTGATACTTCCAGTAAAACTGATCCTTACTTTCCTTAAGCAATAAAGCTTGCATTATTTGAATTATATTATTCAAAATATGAAAAGTATTTAGGGAATGAAAAACTTTTTGGCAACGTTTTGAAATCGCAGCATCGCTCAACAGGTCGCTGTTCTAAAACAGCTTTCGGATGTTTGGTACGCACGGAGACACGATAGATTGTTGAAGGTAAAAGACCGTTTAACTGCACCTACAAAAAAAGTAACTAATAAATGATCAGTAAACAGACGAGTATTATATACTTTCTGGAAGTAGGAAAAATGTAACGAATTTCTATAGATACATCAGGTACATAAGTAAGTAAAAGGATACCGCAGAAAACATAGGTAATCGCCCATAGATAATACCGGATAATATTTAAATTCTCATTACATGATAAATAAATATGATTAATAAATTTGCCAGTTCCAGATATATCAAATAATATTATGGTGAAAAAAATCCCCGAAAGTTGTCTTTTTTTTTTCTTGAAATTTATGAATTTTAACCTGAAAGACAGAAGGAGGGCACATTCCCACTTTGACCGCATTGAGCAGAATAGCATGTTCCGCATTACTATCACTTGGATACCATGAAACGCAAGCTGATATAGGTGTTATCGACCAAATACGGACATGTTGCGGAGCTATTGGTGCATCTGAATTAAGAGATTTAGGAAAGAAAAGAAATTTTGGACATTTCAATTAATCACAAAGTAAATAAACTTTTACTTTATCAGTACGCAAAAATGAAATCACCGTTTCTTTTCCTTTCTCTTTTGTTCTTTCCTTTCTTACTTCCTTTGAATTTCAAAATACAAACCTTTTCCCAGTGAGATAGTGCATGCAGCATCCGGACTATGTCCATTCTCGGTCACAGCACGCACTGATAAGTTAATTGGTTTGGATAAATCGATATCTTCGATCAATGCTTTACACTTAAAAGATCCCGGCACTACAGCACGGACAATACTATCCACACAAACATGATATTGCGATATGGGGGTTAATGAATCATCTGGTGCAGACCATGAAATCACACAACTACGACTCATCTTCTTCTCCACTGTTAACTCTTGTGGAAAAGGCACTGAAAATATGAAAAAGCATGAAAGATTAGAAAAAAAAAGAAGTATAGAATAGAAATTGATAGTATAAGTTTACAGGTTAAATGTTATCATCCAAAATTGTTCGAAAATATTCATTAGTAATGAGAGATTTCGCAAACAATAATGTTAGTTGATTTGATATTTAAATCACGTGTTGCTATCTATTCAATCATAAGATAAAGTTACTAAATTATACACTTCACGTAGTTCGCACATTTGACGACATTACATTCGAACATACTGTAACACTATGTTTTCTCTCATTTTATATTACAGTAATTTCTTTGATTATGATTTCGCAGACTATAATACAATAAATTATAGTGCAATAATTTCTTTTCAAAAACTTGTTCACTTTTTAAGCTAAATTTTTGATCACATTACTTTAAAAATAAAAGATCGGATGTAATGATAAAGGCATTATTATTATTACTATTATTATTATTATTACTATTATTATTATTATTGCTATTATTATTATTATTATCATTATTATTATTATTATTATTATTATTATTATTATTATTATTATTATTATTATTATTATTATTATTATTATTATTATTAATTATTATTATTATTATTATTATTATTATTAATTATCTATTATTAATTATTATTATT